CTTGCAAGAATTTATGAAGCAGCAAACAAACAGGAATCTATGGGTTCATAATGGATGAATTTCCTTACTTGATAATCAAGGAGATATATAATTTCTGAGACATATTTTTCCTTAAATAAAGTGAACCATAGCAGAGATACTCAATAACAGGTTTCACTGTACATAGAAAATAATTAGGATGACTAAGTATTAATCCACTCAGTCATTTTATTTTTTTCATATTGGTCCATCTAAAAACTTTGCTGACAAATTTGTGTTAGTTGTGGTTAAATATTAGCCAATTCAGCAGAAAATAAACAACCTTTAACCCCAAATTCTGTTGATTTTATGATCATAGTACTTATGTAAATATTAATCAGCATCCAAAGAGCTTTCTAAAGATATAAAACTTGACCATGAAAATGTTAGCATATTGTGGCAAATACTAAAATCCACCATTTTGAATTTGACTCAACTCAGTGAAACCTTTGTAACTCAAGCCACAGTAAAAAGTTCACCAAAATATTTTGTACATATCTTGCCATAAGGCAGACAAATTTCTTCTCAAATTTAAAAACAAATTAAAGATACGGTTTTTGAGAAATTAAAGGTTAAATTATATGATCAAGGTCAAATTATCTTATTTGACCTTTAAATAAAATAATAAATAACCTTTTAGATCTATTCAAGTACTTTAAAATGACATATAACTTAACTTTGTAGGTAAAAAAAACAACTGAGATATTGATATTTAGACTTTGTGACTATTTTCCAAAATTCACTTTTATGGCAAAGGTTAAAGGGGACCCTTTGACCTAGAGATGTAAAATAAACACCATTCAATTTGTATCATGAAACTCTATAACTGTACTAAATTTGAAAAAAATTTGTGTTGATAGACATTTGTTAATTTGACACAGAATGACTCTGGTTCAAATAAAATTCATTTCTATCAGTTCTGTTTTCTGCTGAGTAATCAAAGATTTTCATCTTTACAATTAACTTCATTGTAAGCTTCAATTTTAAACAACTGAACAAATTTTTCATACTCACTTAGATGTCACCTTTGGTAGACTGATTTCAATTCATTACATATCTACAGAGGGCACTTCATCATGGTGTAATAGTTAGCAAGCTTGCCTCACTAAATTAATTACTGAATAGTGAGTTCAATCCTCACTGGGTGCCCCATACTTTTGGCCTTGCACCACATTTAAGCTGCACTTAGGAAATCACCATTACCTATCTATAGAATTTATATTATATTCATGGTCATAATGGTAAATGTTAATTATCATTAAGTTTAATTATTATTGTTAATAATTATTAATAAATATCATCACTAGTATGTTACTAAGTTTGGCAAAAAGAGAGTTCAATGATAAGAGAGATAATTCAATGAAAATGACTGGGTAATTAGCAGTTAGTAGAACTGGAGTTAACTCTCTTTGACAGACACTTTTTTGTGAATTTAAACTTAAAAATTAATTAATTGAAATATTGCACTAAAAACTGATATTATCATATTTCTTTTGCAGTTTTATGTTAACAGGCAGAGAAATTGTGCCCTTATAATAAAAGTAAAATTTCTAAAAATGCTAACAAACATTTTATAAATAGATTTTCTAATAATTTTAAGAATATCGTTTTTTACAAAATTCCTTCTATCAGTGCTACATGCTATATTTGGTAGTTACCAAATAAAAAGTGTGGGTAGGTAAAAAAGAATATCGGGTAAAGAAAATAAAAAATAATAAAATGAAATAAAAAAGAAACACTAGGTTAAAAACTGTTAAACACTAGGATAATGTAAGGGGAGGTAACTGAATATGAAAAAGAAATATTAGAAGCAGGTCACTTGTGGTATTACAGAGATGATAGCATAATTGCTCTAACCAGCATCGAAATATTTGAGAAGTGATTTCATTGTGGCTGCATGAAATCATAAACTCATTACACTTGTTCAGTAGATTATGATTATCGATGTGTTTGAGAATAGTTTGTTTTTCTGATGGGCACAGAGTGCATTTATCCTTGCTGAGGTTAAAAAGTTTGTTATAGCGATGAGATCTCCATTTACATGTGTGTACTTATCTATCTTGATTTCCCAGAAAAATTTAGAGAGTGCCAAGATATTTGAATATTGATTATAAGTAAGATTCATTTGCCTATGGTTAGCAGTGGGACCAAAATAAAATTTAGTCTCGCCATTATGCTCAATGCTAGCCTTGTAAATAACACCTTTATTCATTCATTTAGAATTAAGTGGGCAGGTACTATATACATTATAGCTCTGTTTAACTACATTGAGCACTGTTTTGTTTACACCCTTGATTAAATAAAAAGTTATTTGCTCACCTGTATGTGTACGTAATCACTCATATATATATGGTTGATTGTATCTCTTTCTTTAGATCAAGGATGGCCAACCTGTGGCGCATGTGCCACAAGTGGTGCATTGCATCCTTTTGATGAAAAGAAACTAAGCCACTTCTACTCCTTCATTTCAGTGATTTTATATTTATTGCACGTCCTTTGTGAAAGTGCTAAAAGGATACGCCCCTGGTCATAAGCATATATTTTTCAAATAGATAGATTTTATTATAGCTTTAAAATATGTCCATATTACAACACGTACTGAAAGGAAGTGAATGTTTGTGTGGCGCATTTAGATTAATCATACAAAATATTGGTGCATGGAATCAAAAGATTGGCCACCCCTAATTTAGATCATTTCTACATCTATATCTATATATATATAAAATAGATAGGTTAGTTAATAAAACAAGGACAAATGAAAGGGTAACAATATAATCAGTATGATAAACATTTATTAAATTTTAATTATTAACCAAATGGCAGAAATGAAGCGCGGAAAGAAAGGTTTTAACTTCAGAATTTTTTTGGATACGCCTGTGTCCTTCATCAATGGACTGAGGAATAAACATATAAATTTGAATTACTCTTTCTTTATTTATTCTGTTTTCTACATTTTAATATTGATAATAAATATAATGTTATCGTATTTTTCTAACTGTATATATTAATATTATTATGTTTTATATATATTTATGCTGTATGTACATGTTTATAGTATTTACATTATGATCATATTTTAAGACATTTTTATGTTTATATATACATTCTTTTTTATAGATACAAATATTTAAGTAAATGCTCTATTTATAATAAGCAGTATTAAACAACATTTACCGGCCTGAATGTCTGAGAAATTATCATAGAAAATATGCATCCTCTGACAGGAATCGAACCTGTATCCTATACGGAACCGTCATATAGCCTGACATGCTTTACCGATTTAGCCACAGAGGATCGTTTCAGTTAGCAAGGTCAATTTTACTGTTTTTAAACTACAATTCTCCATGATTTTCTCATGTACATTCATATCTGCTTGATACGTATCCAAATGTAAACAAATGACATCACACATTATGAAATGGACAAAGTCCGACAATTATTTTAAGACATTTTTATGTTTATATGTTCTTTTTTATGGATAAAAATATCTAAAAATAATTGTTGGGCTTTGTCCATTTCATAACGTGTGACGTCATTATGATCATAACTAACTGGTAGTTACTATAGTGGTTTTATAACTCAAAAATAATCCTTTCCCATCTATAGACAATCACCTTTAATGGACCCCCTCTCCACCTATTAGTCCATTGATGAGAAGTTTATCTGTTATATATAAATATATATGATAAAATATGGTTTTTATGTATGCTACATTTATGGGTTAAAGTGCTCAATATCAGGGATAGAACATATGTAAATATAAAAGTGGACATTAAAGTCAACATCCAGTGGCAACAGTCTATTTCATGCTTATACACAATCATCAGGCCATAGGTGTTGTATTTGTACTTGACTATATACAGGTCAGTGATGTATTTTGGGTAGTCTATTGTATTATTGTGGTTGGTAATGGTTATGTTTTAAATTATTTTAGGAGCTATTGTGTGGAAATAATTGTGGATCTGGATGCAGTTTTTGAGGTATTTATAGTGTGTTTAACTTTTTAAAATTTATTATTGAGTATTATATTGTTGGTTTTTATTATTACATTTACTTGTGTTTATGTGTGCATTCATTGTTTGTTAATTTGTTTATTATTTAATTTATTTACTTATTTATTGGTTTAATGTATTGGGTGTTGACTTCAATGTCTACTTTTACATATATACTGAATATATCATCAATCAGCTAAGTGACAAATTTTATATTTGTATTAATCTGATATATATATATATATATATATATATATATATAAAACAATGTGATAAGAAGAGCAAGGATAAGAAAAAATGTCACTCACCATAAAGTGATGGATTGATAGACAATAAAACATAAATAACAAAAAAGGACTACCTAGTTCTAGCTCTTCAATCTTCAAAGCTCAGTTGAGGACAAAACATATAAATTTGTGCACAATGATTAAAAAAGGGGAGAAAAAATATTGCAAGAGAATCAGCAGTGTTAATCACAGACTGATTATATTTAGACCCAGCAGCCATTCCTTTTGCTGACAGGTTGAAGACTGCTTACACTTAATGTAAATGGTCTCAAGAATTCTTAAATGGTAATCCAAATGTGCTCTGTTGATTATGGTGAGAAATCCCTGCTGAAAGACGAGGTACAAAATAGATTATTTTTAAGTGTTCTGTAATCACAGAACTGGAATTCTTAAGGTTTTGCAAATTTTCATACTGTTTATGTGTCTTAGTACATGCTGATCAATCCTAGTCTTCAAACTCTAATTAGTTCTGCCAATGTATCCAGCATCACATTGACATTTTGTGATTATAAATCACTGAATTAACATGATGTGGGTGCAGAATATCTTTATGAGTAGATTTCAGCATGGGTTGAGAATTGAAAAAAAGTTGTGGATTTGCAGAAAAATAAAAAAACTGCACACTTTGAGAAATTTGAATTTGATGATTGAGTAACAATGCTACAAACAAAATGTTTCCAAAATAATTCTGCAGACTTTTGCATCAACCTTGTAGATGAGGATTATCTGATAAAGAATGAAAATGAAAGGGTTCAAAGTGCCATGATACATACTCAAAGGGTTTTGAAACTTGGGAAGAATCTATTTCATTGTCTGCATCGTCCATGGAAGTTTCACTGTTCTCAGGAGGCAGACACATTCTGGGAATGCTTTCTTTCCCTCTAGTTGGAGTGGCTGAAAAAAAAGTGGAAACTGTAATTATATGGTGATATCAAGTAATTTCAGCCATTTAATGAAAAAAAGTTGTTTAATTATACAACAAATACATATTTGGCCATTAAATGTTTTTGTATTTTTTATTAGATCAAATTAACTTAATTTAAAAGAACTGTCTTATTAGCATGATCTTTAAAAAGATTTTTCTAAAATTGGTGCATTTTGTTTATTGTTTCTAACATTAAATATAACAGAATAAAGCAAATATGATGAGAGGGGGGTCAAAAAGTGCAGTGCAGTGTTCACCAGCAGGACAGCTAATTTTTCTTCTTCTTCGGTTGCCTCAAGGAAATGGATTGCATAGCTCCCTTTCTCAGCCATTACACTGGGCAGTTGTGAAACAGACACCAACTCAGCCGTGCATACTTTGACTTCCTCTTTGTCCGTCTGTCAATCCATACATCTAGCTCTATTGCATACAGTCTGCCAAATGACTTCCCTGCCATTGTGCTGCTGGCACCCCGATTTTTATGCTATTCCAATATGGCCAAAATTTGCATTTGTGCAAATATTGTCTCGTTTTGGACAAGATCGGCATGCATAAATTGTGTCTTCAATAGTGACTATATTTCTTTTTGGCATCACTTTGCAGGCAAGACACGTTTGCGCTCATTTCGAATTCTGAGGTAAGTCATATCTTTCATTACAATGTCATAAATTATAAAAGGTAAAATGTGGTTTAAGCCCTTTTAAAGTGACCAGCATTTTGATCTGTAGTTTCTGGGAAGAAAAACTTTAAAAAAATCTGTATAAAGTAAGATTTTGTAAAACAGATTCAACTTCTAGAGAATAGATTATTGGAGTTATTAGAATAGATTATTGGAACATATTGTATTAATTAGTTTCAGACAAGATAAAAATGTCCTTTTAATGGAAATCATTAATTAGATCCAATCCAATTTAAAATACATTTTAATTAACTCTTAATTCCCAGAGAAAGACAAAAATTACATTGCATTTCAAGCATATATCAAATTATGAATCTACAAGTAGATTTAAACATGTATAGTTATTAAGTTATTAAAAATTTTATTCTCTTCAAATAATACACTTAGAATATTTCACAGAAATTTTTGTTAAATATTTATGCCCATTTTGTGTCTACTATTACATCCACATATGAGATATAAATAAAAGGAAAACATATCAAGTAGTCTATCAAAGCAGTCAGCATGATAATACAAGTAGCAGCCTGATGTAACAGTCCAAGGTAAAATCATTAGGAAATCTATCTCATCTATTCACTGGACAGAAAAAAAAACAATAACAAAAAACTTTTGTAAATCCCTGTAACTAATTCTTTATGATAAAAAAAATTGAATTTGCATTTTATCAGCTTTCTACTTTTACTTTCCTTTTTTATTTTGGACAACTTGAATATTTTACAAGGCACAATTCTCGCCCACTCAAACTTCCACAGATCAACTTCATTTTTCTTATAATGATTACAGACAAGATTTACTTTTAGAATGATTTACTTTGTCTTTATTATCAATTAGGTTTTATTATTTAATCTTTTAAATTCATCAACAATCCTCTTTCATAAGCATTGATTAAAAAGATGGTTGCTTAAGTAGATTAACACCATCTATTTCTTGTTCAATTTTACCTCTTTGTTTTGTTTTGTACCACCAAGAACTTGATTTTAATCTTGAAAATAGAGGAGAATAATTAACATTTTCAGTATGTGATGTATATTTTAAGAAAGGTAAAACTGTGACGCAAATACAAAAAATCACAGTTTATGGAGAAGGTAATATAAATTTTCATGTCAAAAGAGCTGAGTGAATTCTCATAATTCTCTTTCATTGGTTTGATCAGTTGAAATTAATAATAAACAAACATGTTCATAACTTTTGAATCATAAATATTATATAAGGCAGGAGTCAGTTAACATAAAATATATATATATATATATATATATATATATATATATATATATATATATATATATATATCAATGAAAATCATTTATACTAGATTGCTTATGTTAGTTGCTTGAAAGTATGACTTCCACATGAGCAAAGAGAAAAAAAAAATGAATAACTTGACTATTGTTTAATGGGGAATTTTCTACTTAAATATAATGAAAATAGTTTGCTTTTTAAATAAGTTATGGTGAATGATAAAGTTTCTCTGAATTCGTTCTAGAGAACGAAATGATTAATCTGACCAAGTAATACTCTCAATCAGATCTTAGAGAAGGCAGCAATCAAAGAAAGGACATAATGTTAATATTAGCTGTTTCCTTACATTGTAACATTTAGCATTCATTGACTGAGCAATCAGTGCTACTTGAGTTATACTTTTCTTCACTGCCTGGGTATCAGGCTAGCATCAAAGTGTAGTTGCTGTTCTCCTCATCTATAATGGTAATAGCATTTTCCATATATGGAAACATTGTGCATTCACTGACTGAGCTTTTAAAATTATGCTTTTCTTCACTGCCTGTTCATCAGGCTAGGATCAAAGTGTAGTACTTGTTCTCTTTATTCCTAATGGTAATATTAAATGTTTCCTTATAAGAAAACATTCAGCATTTATTGACTGAGCAGCCAGTGTGATTCAAGTTATACCTTTCTTCACTCCGTGGACATCAGTCTGGGATCAAAGTGTAGTATCTGTCCCCTCTCATCTCTAATCATGATATTAGCTGTTTTCTTATATGGAAATATTTAACATTCATTGACTGAACAGCCATCAGTTGAAATTTATAAAATCTTTCTCTTAAAATAATATTTTTCCAAAATTGACTTTTCAAATCCTATAACTGTTCCCAGTATTGATGGAGGTTTCCTTCCTAACCTTTTGTTTGAAGTGGTGTTAACATCTTGATTATTTAATTATTTTCTCTTCAAGTTACATGTGCTCTTCATTTTAGTTGTTGTTGTTGAAAGTCCTCAAGTGATGTTGTTTCTGCTATTTGCTGCAGTTCTCTGTGATTCTGTGCCTTTGGGAATCAGGTAAAAATTGTTTCTTTCTGACTAATAAAATTTAATTGTGATATTGTAACTGATACAATAATTTTTCTAGATGATGTATGATGAATAGATTTAATCATTTTAAAGACCAAAAGAATGGTTTGTATATCTTATAAGGAAGAATAAAGAATTTTGTATTTTCCTAATTTGTTATTGTTTCTTTGTGTTCAGATATATGTTTTTTGAACTATGTTGTATTTCACCAATACAATTATTACATTTCATAAATGGGATTATATAAATTTTACAATGTCTGTAGAAATAATAAGAAGCAAGTAAAAGTAAAATGAAAGAAATATTTGTCAAAACTTAGTAATGCTTCATCTAATAAAAATTTAAGATAATAATACTACTTGTTTACTGATAACCATAGACTGAGGGTCTGAGGAGATGCAATGAAAAGCAAATAAAATGAAGATGAAAGAAATACTAGTCAAAAATTAGTAATGGCTGACAATGCTTGATCTAATAAAAATTCAAGATAATATTACTACTTGTTTACAGATGGCTATGGACTGAAGGTCTGAGGAGATGCAATGAAAAGCAAGTAAAATGAAGATGAAAGAAATACTGGTCAAAAATTAATAATGGCTGACAATGCTTCATCTAATAAAAATTCAAGATAATATTACTACTTGTTTACTGATGGCCATAGACTGAAGGTCTGAGGAGATGCAATGAAAAGCAAGTAAAATGAAGATGAAAGAAATACTAGTCAAAAATTAATAATGGCTGACAATGCTTCATCTAATAAAAATTCAAGATAATAATACTACTTCTTTACTAATGACCATAGACTGAGGGTCTGAGGAGTTGAAAGTAAGTAAAATTAAGATCTAAGAAAAACAACCAAATATTAATAATGGTTCATGGCAATGATTCATCTAATAAAAATTCCAGATAATATTACTACTTATGCCATAGACTTTAATGTCTGAGTAATTGCAAAAAAATGTACAGAAAAATTCAAGAAAGTAATAATATTAAAAAAATATAGTTATTTTGACCAATGAGTAAACAATGTTGTTAACCAAAAGATAATAACCCAGAAATAAATAAGTAACCACATTAAAAATGGTCATCGTCGTTTCCACAAATTGTGTTAAGGTCAGATAACCATTGCTTTTATTCCCAGATTTTATGAAATTTCAAGTAAAAAATGTCTTTGAGGAATGAGAAGACTTACCTCTCACAAAGCAAATTTGCATGATGTGTCAGGTCTTGTTGAAAGATCGTGACCGGTGTTAAAAGTGAAAATGAATTATTCCGAAACTCTTATGTAGCGGGCTAGCGTACAACGAAAAATAAAAATAAAAAAGACTAAAAATTCAAGCCAGCATAAATTTATAAGATCAGAAGTCTCGGACAAATGAGAAGTAAGTCTTGTATGCAAATGTTAGTTGCCCCCGATGCAGGCATAAATAGCGAGTATGTGAGGAAGACGAGACAGAACAGAACGCATTGTTGGCATAATGGCGTATGTACTAATGAGACTGAGAGAATAAGAGGTCACTAGCAACAGCTCAGTTGGTAGACCGGAGGACTGGGTGAAAGCAAGCACTTTAATCTATTTCAGTCATCGCAAACGACGGGCAAACTGAATTACCCACAATGTCACTAAAGACAATCTTTTGGCAGACTTTCTGAATCATAAAATCACTATTTTTATTAAGACGGAATAAATTTCTGTTCTCCGAGAGAAGTTATATTGCCAAACAGCAGCAATGAGTTCTCAAGTGAAGCAAGAAAGAGCTTCATTACTTTTGCTCATTGTACAAAAAAATTAATTAATGATTGAATCATTAATTATATCATATTGTTAAAACAGTCACCTTTTTATCAAGTCATATTAGCTATGGACAAATATATTGGTGGTAATTTAACTTTCTCTATGAAATCTGGATTTCATGCAAGAATAATGTGTTTCTTTTTTTAATCATTTCTCCCCATGTAAGCCAGTAAAGCCACTAAGACAAA